ATTTTTCAAATAATTCAATTCAAAATTATTTATTTTAAGCTGGGATAGCAAGTTCTTTTATATATTTTTCAAATATAAAAATTACTATAATATTATTATTTAATACTATCTAGATATATATTATTATAAAGAATTATAATCTATTATTATAATATTAAAAATATCAAGATTATATTTATATAAATATTTTGCTAATCTTCAAAATATTAATATTTAAAATATCATCATTTCATCAAAAATTAAATAAATATATTATTCTACTATATACATGAAAAATATATAATATATAATTCAAAAATATAGATCTCAAATAAAAGAAATAAGATATAATATTTAAAAATAAAATATAATAAAAATAAATATAATAAAGAAAAATAAATATATAATATAAAATAAGAATAATTATATAATAAATTATAAAATTATAGAAAAATAAAATTTTATATAATCAAAGAAAAATTATAAAATTAAGAAATTTTATATCACTACAGTAATAATATTACTAATAAATATCAATAATAGATTAAAAATCAAAATAATAATATAATATCATATACTTTTAAAAAATTTTATTAAATAATAATTTCTGATTTAAAAATAAAAAAAAAATTTAATATTAACTATATATATTAACTTAATATTTTAAGATACTTTTATTAATTATATAAATAAGAAATTTATTATAATAATTATAAGTATAAGAATATAATTTAAAATTAAAAATTATTGAAAAAATAAAAAAATATAAATATTTAATAGCAACTTATAAAGAAGAAGATATATATTAAGTTTTATTATAATTAAAAGAAAATAAGTATAAATATATTTTAATTATTTATGATGAATATATATTTTATTCTAATAATAGAAAGAGAGATATTTAAGCTCAAAATAGATAATTATCATTATGTAAAAAGAAAAATAAAAAATTAATTATGATTAATAAATTTTTAACTAAAAATTAGTGATCTTTTCATTTAATATTAGAAGAAATTTTATCAAATTTAATCATTCTAAAAGTAATATATGTATATTTAAAATTAGAAAAAAATGAAAATGATTATTGAACAAGCTAATATTTAGTTATTCAAGTAGAATTAAAAATAATTTTAATATTTAAAATAATATTTTCTAAGTGTATTAGAATTTTTATATTTAATAATAATTTAAATTATATAGTATTTATACCAGATACTCTTGTTACAAAAAGAATAAATATTGAATTTGAAGATAAAAATATTCTAAAAATGAGAAATACAAGATGAAGATCTAATAATCAACTTCAAAAAATGAACTTTAATAATAAATAATAAAAAGATATCAAACAAATTTTAACAGAAAGAGAATTATGAAAATAAAATATGATTGATAAATGCAAGTTATGTATAAATTATTTTATAATATTTCCTGTAATTTAAATATAATTTAAAATAAAAAATTTAATTTTTTTTATATTTTTTTATATGAATATATTTATTATTATTTTATAATATTTCTTGTAATTTAAATATATTTTAAAATATAAAATTTAATTTTTTTATATTTTTTTATATAAATATATTTATTATTAATATAATTATTTCTTAACTAATATCATATCCTTTATTTATTCTTATTCTTATTATTTTACTTTTTTATTAATCAATTATAATTAGATCTTTCTATACTTATATAATTATCTTTTTTTGTAATCATCTTTTTTAATTTTTTAGTTACTAATTAACAAAATCTCTTTATAGTTACATCTCTCTTTAATTATTTAATTTTGCTTTTTCAAGTATGATAACTATAAAGAGATTTATTCTTATTCTTATTATTTTTACTTTTTTATTAATCAATTCTTTTTATAATCATATCTCTTTATAGTCATCTTTTTTTATAATCATCTTTTTTAAGTTTTTTAGTTACTAATTAACTATAATTAAAAAAAATCTCTTTATAATTACATCTCATTCAATTTTGCTTTTTCAAGTATGATAACTATAAAGAGATCTGACTATATGTCTAAATATTTAAAAAAATTACAACACTATCTTGTAATAATGCACAAAATATATTGTGTTGTAAAATTATATAACTTGCTAATTAGATAAATTCAGATTGAATTGACATATTCTGCTTTAGCGTAAATTTACGAGGGCGCAGTCATGTGATTTTTCGAGTAAACCAATCAAATCCCAAGATTAATGTGTAATGAAAAATTCAAAAAAACGCAAACCTTTTGTGATTTTTTACATCAAATCGCAAGATATGAAATATAAATAGCATTTCGATTATGGTTAGAATTAGGATTAGGGTTTAAGTTATATCGCAAGTTTCATAAGTATTTTTCCGTTATTGCGATTTGATTGGTTTACCGCCATGGTTAGGATACTTTGCATGTGATAAGTTGCGTTATCGACTAGAGGTGGGATTTACATGCGACCAATAGAAAAATTAGTCTCTCACATGGGATTTTGCTATTCAAAACTAAAAATCCACAGAAAAATTTATTAAAAACCTCGTAGAATGTTTCGTGTATGTACTACGATTCTATAAGTATATTATACTATTAATCAAATTATTCTCGACATGAAATTGAATCACTTTATGCGAACACGGAATATGCATTAAAATCTTCAATGCATCCGAGGTGTATGTTTCGCTTTCATTCTAATCATCGGTTTTTAAATAATAATGTGGAATTAATATAATTAAATTCACTTTAGCTCCATAAACAATGTACATGTATAGGAAAAATTGTAATTATACTTGGTAAAGACAATGATTATACCTGGCGATGTTGACAAATTATTGCTCTTATTAGATCCTATTAAAAAAATTCAGTTTAGTCCAATAATAAAACATAAGATGTGCTGTCTAAAATTATGATTACCTGAACTAGTTGACGTGTTATTGCTTTCGGTAGTTTCTGTAAAAAACACCACATTAGTCTAATAAATAAACAGAAGATGCTTGTCTCAAAAATAATGATACCTATGCTGTTGTTTGATGAATCGATATTGCTAGAATCGGCTTTGTATCGAAAATTGGTTAAAACTAAAATATATGTTTATAAACTCAAATAAAAATAGTGTATTACCTTCGGTTATAGTCATCATTTCAGCTCTAGAGTCTATTATATAAAAAGAATTAATAATAATTATATATTTAGGACTAAAGAAACTTTTTCAACTTACCTTCATCAAAATCTAATAAACGATTAAATTGCATGGAGTCGGTGACATCTAAGATGAAGGATGTTAGTTAAGATTATTCGCATAAGTTATGTTAAATAATTATTCTTACTTGATATTTTGTCAGATAACATAAGACTTAGTTCAGTAGAATCATTAGAATCAGTATAATCAATAGAACTAGGAGAATAAGGATCTATAAATTTATTATATAAATTTATTATTAAAAAACGATATTAGTGACTCAAGATGAAAATAATATGTATAATACCTGAAGGTTGCATTGACCTCGTACTCTCTTGATCTAATAAAATTGAATTTTATTAAAAATTTAATAAAAATAGACACACATGCAAATAATTCTATAAACATACATGTGCTACGTTCTCTATTAGAGATGAGATCTATATTGATAAGATCTATATTAATAAAAAATGTTAAGAGTTCTTAATAGAATGCGCATGATTTCGTTACCTGGCTTAAACACCGGGAATATTTTACTGTGCGGCCGATCATAACTAGATGATCGTCGATGTTTAAATTTAAGTGTATTTTGTCTCTCTTTTTCAGCTTCCCAAAATTCACTTATAAATTCGCTCATGGATAACCAATCTCTAAAAATCTTTTTCAATTCTTTTGCTGTTGGACGATTCTTCGGATCTTTATCCCAACATCTTTCCATCAACTTTTGGTAGCAATCAGGAGTTCCTTCGATCTTTTCAGGTCTTATCCCATCGCAAATATCATATTGTAAATATATATCGTGTTTTTGATTGGCAAACGGCGTACACCCAGAAACAAATTCCCACATTATCATTCCAAAACTATAGATATCTGCCCCAGGTGTATATTTTTTACCACGATGAACTTCCGGAGGTAAATAAGACATAACCCCGAATATTCCCTTTTCCGCCGACGTCGAATCAGCTTGTTTAGATAGCCCCATATCACCAATTGCTATACAGGTAACATCTCTTCGTCTGACAAGAATATTCCCAGAATGAAAATCGCCATGTACAAGATTAGCGTCGTGAATATTGGCGAGCCCTTGAGCGATTTCTTCGAGGTATTCTATTCGTTTTCTCCAAGTTAAATTATCAAAATTATTGCGTATATATTTTCTTATATCGCCTTCAGTTGCGAATTCCATGACTATCCTTTAAATTTTGATAGAGACTATGTTAATTAATTAAATATTAATGATAGTGGATCAATTTTGATATTTACATATAATCATCGCTATTATCGTCTTTAGTGATGCCATAGCTTTGTAAAATGCGCGGATAATCATGCCAGCCACTATTCGACATTGTTGTTTTTGCGGAAAATCTAAAATAAGTATCTAACTAAAATTTCTTTTTGGTCAAAACAGCATAAAAATCACCAAGAAACTATATAGAAAATTAAATTCGTCTGTTAAATACCTCTATAAAGAATTCATTACTGATATTTTTGGAATTATTCAATTTTTTTAGCGCTACTTTAGTTTCACCATTTCTTTTATATCGTTGAGTCTTTTCGTCTTCTGTACGTCTTGGTCCGCATAGCCAATTAGCCGAATATCTGTTAAGAAACCTTATCAATGAGATTGAATAATTAATAAATTGAGAGATTTTTTATTAGAAATTGAAACTTACACGACCCCAAATCCACCTTTTGCCACCAGTTCTATGTCATTAAATTGATCATATGGGATCCATTCCAAATAATTACAATTTGTATTAGCATTCAATTGCGTTTGTTGTATTAGTTTATTAATTTTTTCATTTCCACTTGACCAATGAATAAATTTTTTCGCGAATAATTTTGATTCGCATTCTTTACACCAAAATTTACTGACTCGTTTTTGTTTACATGTTGGACATTCACCATAATCATTAAAAGTTGACGACCGTTTGCATATAATCTTTGCACAGATATTCGACATATTTTATCTTAAAATTTAATAAGGATTGTGTCGCAAGAGGAAATTTTTATTATGGCAGAAACATAAAACGAGCTGTTGATAAATATGAAGACCGGAACCGTTCTCCTTATTAGATGATGAAAATTGGGTCTGTATTTACAATGAACGTGAACACAAAAACAATAGTAACACAGTCTTCAAACGTTTAAATGCGCCCATCTTCGATACAAAAAAGGAAATTTTACAAAGAACAATGTCAATCGTCAATCCCTAAATGCGTATAAGTGTAAGTATAATAAAAAGTCGAAAGCTTCGACGTTTCTTTTTTGTTTGAAAAATGTCTGATGATGTGATAACCATTCTTCGTGAAAAGAATGTCTCGGCTATAGATACTTCTAAACAACCAGAAATAAGTAAGCCATCCAAGCCTCACGTAAATTTGAAGAAATAAAGATATCGCTCGGTTCAATTTCTTTGAAATTATCAAACTGAATTTACCGAACCAGAAACTCATACAATTGGCTTGCAAGCTTGAATTGTATTTTAGTGAATTAAAGTTCGTTTTGCCAAAATCGAAAACACAGAACAAACGATGATGAAAAGGTTTTAAGATTGGCTCTTTTATAACTGAAAGTCTTAACTAATGCAATTTCTGTCTTCTGTCATTCATGAATAATAGCATTTACGGGAAAGGTGGTATCTATATTTCTATGTACATGTAAATAGAAATCTTCATAACGCATTTATGAAAACTGAAATCAGATACAGCAATAATCTTTGCAAGTAGTGGAACAAAGGTTGCATTTAAGACAATCGACGCTGCTATTATTATTCAACAAAGATTAGATTAAGCAGATAAAACATCAAAAGAACATCTTGATTATGGATTACATTTGATAATAGCAGCTCATTTCTCGTGGGTAAGCACGGCAAAGGAAAGAATTTTAGAGATCGTCAAAATAATCGGATGACATGCACCAGAAACTTATAATAAGTGAAATTTTATATTTAATTTATTTGGATGTTTAATTCATTTTTATCTAAGCTTGGTATGTTACTTTGAGAAATTGTCGAATACGTGAGTTTGTAGCTAGAAAACACGTAAGCAAAGACACTGAGTTATTGAATAAAGCATTATACATGCACGGTTACTCTGGATATACGTAATATAATGAAAAAGCGTCCTTTAACGAAGACTTTTGAACCCAATTCATTTTTATGTTTTAAAAATGATTGATCCTTGGATATCTAGCAAAGATTTGTCTGGTGTCGAGGTCCTTGTTATATCAGAATTATTCTTTATTATAATAACGTTAAAGCATTCGAAAGTCTAACCCAAAAAGCGTGTGAATCTTTTTCATAACATTCCGAAAAAGGAAATTTTAAAACCCAAATGCAAAGTTGTACTAGAAAGGCTATTATTTGTTTTCAAATTGGAAAAATTATTCAACCACACTCGCTGTTACCTTTGGAAAGGTAAAATAATGGAGAAAAACCAATATCTGGCCATCTAGTAGTTCAGCAAGGAAGACGAAAGCAAAGGGGCTTCACAAAAAACCATCAAATCGCAATACAGTATGTCATCCCCCGTTTAAGTCGAGTGTTTATTTATTATCGTTATGTTTCATTTTTAGTTAAAATCACATACAGTTTATTACTCAAAAGCATATTTTTGACAAATTGGACACCAACCATCACATTCCCATTGACAATCATGAACTCGCGTTAATTTCTTGTGTGGGTTTAGCAATTCCCAATCATCTTCAAACCTCGATTCATCGTTTCGGTTTAAATCCTCGAAAAAATGATTGAATTTATGAATGCTTGCTTCGTCTTCGTCGTCGTTATGACTATGAAGAGTTTGCCTGATTATGTAAGAAGATTCTGCGAAAATTGACTCGCGATCGATTGTGAAAAATAAGCTTGCGAATCCACTAAATATGCTTATAATTCCCAATAATAGAAATTTTTGGGCTACGAAAATTTTCATACGGATATTGTGCCGGTTTCCTGTTTTGTAGTTCTTGCAATTTAGTACAGGTGGTGATTTTCGATGCCTCAGGATGTACAGCATAAAAAAGTGTGTTTTACCGGAAAATATTTTAGTGATTGAAGTGGAATAAATTGAAAAAAAGGTAATTTTATACTACTAAAGGTTGTGGCTCTATGCTATGCTGCATTTTTTGTAGAAATAATAAAGGATGATGCTTTAACGTTTACACACAATTTATCTTTTTATTTTGCATGAGAAATAATTGTTTCGTGTCATGAGAATATCTATTGATGGAATTATGCATCAATTTTTTACGCGTCTTAATGCGAAAAAAAGAAACAAATATATTATATTATATACGTATAAACATTACAAGCGTGTTTTGATTATTATTACTATTATGCCAAATGATCGTGTCGTCGGGAAAATTGTAAAATTAATGATATCTGAGTTGACTAGCTAATGAATTCTATTTATGCATTAATTTAATAAATCAGGGAGACTAACGCTGCCAATGCAGCGGCAAATCCCATAACTTTTTCATTATATTGGATCGAATTCGCGGAGTTGGATGAGGGTGAGCTTGATGGTTGAACGTACCCAGTAGAACTATGTAACATAATAATAGAAAGTATTAGTAAAAGAAAAAAAAAGGGGGATGACAATAATTAAAATAAGAAATTTACGTGGTAGTAGCAACAGTCGTAGAAGGTTGAGATTTTGTAGTAAGGCTAGTAAAAGTAGTTAGCGATGAAGTCGTAGTTGAAGTAGTTGATGTTGAAGTTGGAACCACAGAAGTTTCGGTCTTTATTGAATAAGGATTAAATATTAGTATAAAAGGTGATGCAGACTCAAATTGGTATGTTAGCTGATCCCAATTCATAAGGTACTTACACTGGTGATAGTTGGCATAGGAGTTGGACTTGATTGCTCAGGACCAGGAGCTGGATTTGTTTGCGCATCAATTATTTCCACTTTCAAGCTTTGAATAATAATGAGAATAATGAAAATGAGAAGAAAGTTGGATAATTTATTCATATTGTAGGATTTATTAGTTTTTCTTTCGATAAAATTGTAAAGTGAATTAAAGCAATGGATTAAGCAAAGCAAGAAAAAATCGACACACGCTCACATTTATATGTTATTTTTTTTCTTGGCTTAGTCAGGTTTTTCCCGAGTGACGGCATAATTATGATCAATTATCATCCGATTTTAATAAAATTGAAAAGACAACGCTTTTTTTTGTTAAAATTTTATGACGCTCTCTTGACGTAAACAACCTTTTTTATTTTAGCTATAATGATAAAGATGATAAAGAGCAGATTCATATGCTAACGGGCCAATATTAGATCATTGTTTATATGTTGACGTGTGAAAAAACCGACGATGTTGATCGCTCACTCGTGACTTTGCTCGTTGATAAAAATTTCTCACTTGCAATTAAAAAACCAAGAATTTTAAAATTATCATTTGAATAAACCCATTATATATTTTGACGTAAAAAACTGTGAATGAAGTAACAATTGTTGATAAAATGGGTGTAATGATATCATTCAGCTATTGATGAGTTGATGCTGAGGTAGTGAGTTCTTTGTTAATAAATTAAGAAGGGATAGGGAAAATAATATACAGAGGACTTGCTCATTATACATATACATATTTTTTTAAATTTTAATTAATTATAAAAAGGAAAATAATACGTGTAAATCCAAACACAGCTCTTATTATTATCACCTCCAACGCCCCCGCTATGATATGATATCGTTAACTTCATGACAACCGAAGAAGGAGGGGATGATTCGCTGTTCGATCAACGTTTTTGAATTTTTCGTCATTTCAATTAATAATCATCTGGTATATGAATGGTGACAGTTTTTTCAGCTGCTTTTTCAGCTGCTTCATCTAACATACGCTGTAAGCATTCGTCCCATTTTTTTTCTTCTTCAAGTCCGAATGTCAATGTTCTTTCACCTCGATCTTTTTCGGTCTCCCCTTGTTCTTCATTAATAGTTTTAAATGACGTTGGTACGTCTGATTGAATCATCTCTGTAATATCAATAAAATGTCTTTTTTTACTTTCATCTGATGCGTGGACATCATCATTTGATTCAATGGTATTTTGTGAACTAGCAAAAGATACACGCTTAACGCCGCTCGGTGGAGAATCAGCAATTCCAAAAGAGGCTCTTGCCATAGATGGAGCGTGCAAATTATGCATTTTGAAAGGGGTGAGTAACACTGGCGAGAATTGATCATTAGATAATGAAGTATGATCTGAGGAAATCGAAGATCTAGTTGAACCCGATAGAGTTTCAATAGGAAATGACATCCTATTTGGGGATTTCGGTGAAAATGGAGCTGATATAGATGACGTTTGCGTGAATGACCTATCAGTGGGGGTGGGAGAGCTTGATCGAGTAGAAGAACGTGGCGGAGGCCCAAGAATATTGGATATTTCATCAAATTGCAATGGTGGTAATGTTATTTGCAATAGTGGAAGAGTATTGGAGTTTTTACTACTGGACAAAGATGATGACGTTAGTGCGAGTTCAGGTGTTGCTAACTGCGAATTGGTGTTACGCTTTTCATTGGGAGTAACTGATCGAGGTCTGATATTGTAATCACCAAAAGAAGCAAATGATGGATTATATCTTCTCGATCCCGCGTTCGATGAATATTGTCCTGTGATCACTTGATAAAGTTCGGTCAGGAACCCTTTCTTTGCCGCGAATATAATAAAGATCACTATGCCCGCACAACGATTAATAAAAAGCATGAATATTTTTATGGAATAACTCGGAAGAAATCCTGAAACTTTGCTGACACACTCGTCTTGCGAATGATTCTCGTAGATACAATCTCGCCAAGAAAGATACCAGTCTGATGACGTGTCTATTTTAGTGGGATACAAATGAACAAAGTAGATCTAAGATTTGAAATGATATTGTTTTATTAACGTGTGAATAAGAGGAGGAGGAAGAAAAGATTTCTTTGTCAGCACCAACCATATCAAATAGATAAAGAGCGATCATGAGTAATCCGCCTATTATAGCACGCCATTGCATCCTGAGAATCGTTTTCACATGCAAGATGGTTCTTTGTGCTTCGGTTAACGATAATCTGACGCTTGAAACCACGTCCACGTGAGGATCCGATCTCCAATTCGCACGAATCGTTATCTAAATAATTTTCAGTTAATTAGGATCAGAATATTCGGATGCACGGAAATTTTACGAAACAAACAAACAAACAAACAAAAATGATCAAGAATTTTACATTTGCCATATAAATACAAGTGGCCAAGTGTAATATAAATACAACATAGATGAAACTTAATGGATAGTAAAAAGCGCTATTTGCTGATCGATCCAGAAAACAAATATTTCCCGATGCAATTGTATCTAAACTCATTGGGATGACTCCAGATAGAATCACAATTGTCCAAATAATCACGTGAAAGAACTTGATATTTCGTGTAATCACTTCGCAACGCCATACAGATAGCTTGGTGAATGAATGATTAATTTAATTAATAAAATGCAAAATGCGCGCTTTCAAAATATATTCCAAACATTTACCAGATGAAGATGAACAATTAGAAGCGAAGACCAACAGGCGATTGCGTAAGCACCACTTAGCTCAAAAAATGCTTTGAAATTGATTGCATGAAGAATTAATAATTTATATACATATGCATATGTATAAAGAAAAAATTAATTTTTGTCTGGCATTACCTTGGGTTGCACAATAACCATTATTATGTATTGTAGCTTGTTCAATTTCCGAGTGACACTAATTTAATCGGTGCACACAATTAGCACAAACAACGCAAACAACAAACAAATAAGCATGTAGATGATCTGATGACTGCATACTTGACTCTCTTGTTGCTGCACAGTGAAAAAGCCTTCAAAAGTAAAAATGCAGACGCTCAAGGCGAATGGTAATAATATTTGCTTTGTTGTTGGATTTCGTTTTGCACTGGGTAGCATCATAAAGTTCACCGCCAAAAAGAGCATGAGGAAGAATGAAACGATCCCCAATGAGCTGAATATTTTATAGGCACGGTCTAGCGTCCCTGTACGATAGAAATTGTCTGGAAAAGGACAAGGAAGACAACAATCATTAAAGCAGGTATCAAGTTCTTTTCCATTGCTAGGCAATAATGGGCTGGGACATCCTTCATTTGTCTGATTATTAAAGTTCATTATAATTTTTCGGTTATCGAGGTTTTTAGTTAGTAAGGTGGTTGAAAAGATGACAGAAACCACGGTAACCGATATATCGTTTCAAAAAGTTTTAGTAGTCGTCGTCGTCGTCGCAGTAATGGTGAAAGAGGTGGTTGAGGATGTGGTGGTGGTGGTTAGCAGTAGTAAAAGTAAATAATGAAGCAGTTTGTCGTTATATTGGTACTTTAATAAGAGCACCAGTTTTTGAATTCTACGTCTACTAATTGCTATATATATACAACGATAGGAAAAAATTTTTGACGAGAAATGCGACGATTATTTGTGAAAAGGAGGTGATTTCGTTCAAATTTGTGAATTTGCGTCAATACCACTTGGACATTAAAAAAATTCTTATTATAATCAATTAGATTTCGTTGAGAGACTAGAGGTGTCAACCCCAACAGAAATGTGGGCGTATATAATAAGCGAACGAAATTATGAGAAGAAAGAGAAGGTAAAGGAGATCTAATGTCAACCCGCAGGACAAACCTATAAACTATCATAATCAAGAAATAGTTGGAAATGAAAAATTTGTGTCAATTTGATATATAATTAAAAGTTGGTGCATATAAACAAAAAAAAATGTACGAATGTACGGACCAACCAACTCAACTCGTTTGATACCGGTTTATTAGTGTTTCGCTATCCCGTGGGTTGGCTATTTCAACCTTTCTCTTATATTCGTCGCGATAATTCGAAAAATGGTGGAATATTACAAAAAAACGGTCACAAATAAAATCGAAAACTTTTAAATTCTTTAAACATTCTTATGAGAAATCGGCAGGCACGATTAATAACAACGACAAGAGCAACGTGGTCTAATCTTTTTGTCGCACGATTCGATCTTTTTTTTTAATTAACATAATTACAAAAAGGTTCGGGCAGCCATATCTAGAAATTGCACCGCATATGTTTGCATATATACAGTATACGGTATGTTCATCCAGCGTATACATGTGTCGCACATGTGTAAAGCGATAATCGAAAATTTAGTTCCACTGAATATATCGATATATGTTGACAAGCAGTTATTTGTCCCACCTCCTCTCTTTCATTAAGGTTATGTCCCAAATCATGTTAATCTCAAACTCACGAGTGAAACGTGATTGTCATTCATAACATTAATAATTCTTCATTATAAATTATTAATTTTTATCCACCAATCAATCTTATAATGGTATAAATAAACAAACACACAGATATCCCACAATTATTGAGTTGACCATAATTAAATACGATTATATATCAAATTCACACTATTCTAGCTGCCTCAAATTAATGAGTAAGGATAATATAGGATTTGGGTGATTCCAATCCACTCGGTGTGCCTCACAGCCATCGATGAAATCACCAAATATTTGGCGGGATTAAAGAACGGCCTCTTGATGATCGCACACGCTACTTTCGTGAGCGGTCGTCAGAGTTGCTGGTCTCCCGTTTTTTATTTTTTTCTATTTTGTTTACTTTTTTCTCACACGGATTATTTATATAGTTAAGCATTTTTTTTTTTTTTTTTTAATTACAACTATTCTCGGATGCAATTTAACTAATTGAAGAACTCTGAATTGAGAGCGTATTTTCGATAACGATAGAGGTTTTACGATGGTCCTACAAATGCTTTAAAGTTATTCTTATGCACCGGGTTAATAATGCTTTTGTGTAGAATAGATAGCCTGTGAAATTAGATATCGCCCGTTTTTCTAAATAATAACGCGTATGTTTGATACAGGGTAAAAAAATATTGGAAGAAGTTTTATTTTTTTTCCTATTATTTATTTATATTCTATTATATATTATATTATATTTATATAAATAATAAGTAACAATTGTTCGCATTCCCCACATACGATATACAACTATTTTTGAATTGATGTTATCGTTCCCAACGAGATATTCAACGCTTGAATAAGAAGGTACAAACCAATCGCCATACAAAAAAAGGGTTTCACGAGTGAGATCCTTATTATCGCGCAATGCACAAATATTATTTTTTTACTAGGCTATCCATCGTAATAATTTATATATAACAAAATAAAGTATATAAAATAATATTTATTCGCGAAAGAAGAAGACGAACGACGACGAAGCAAGAAGCGAAACCTGTCTTGCTCATTTGAAATATATCTCTTTTTCTCCTTTCAACACGCAACATAAAAGACGAACAAACAAAAGTATAACCTTCGATGGCCTCCTCTCTTCCAAACGATTGTCTCGCCGACATTTTTGAGATTTTGAGCGAAGACAAATTAACGTTATACTCTTGTTTGCTCGTTAATAGACAGTGGTGTAAAAGCGTCGTGCCCTTTCTATGGAGAAAACCTTTTGACCTTTTAAAATATTTAACTTATAATAAACTTTCTACTCGACACCCCAAGTTAATACATTCATACGTTGCTTGTCTTTCTGAAGAAGAACGAGGGATGCTCATCAAAAATGGAATAAATATACCCACGGATTTTCCACCAACAACTTTCGAATATAGCACATTCCTCCGCTATCTTGATATTTCGGAACTATATCATGCCGCTTCGTTATGGTGTATGTATATTGATTGTATTTATCCGGTAACGGGCGATGATGACGAAAAAGTTAATAATTCTTCGACACGATATCCAGAATGTGTTGGATGTATTGGACCTTACACCGCGATGCGTATTAAGCTCAAACGAGGACCTGTGAAGCGGCGACAACGACAAGCTGAACAGGATGTAAGAAAAAGTGTCGATCTAACAGAATTAATGTTAAATCAAACACAACCTCCTCCAACCGGAAAAGTTTACCTTGTTTGGCAATCCCTATGTAAGATGTTTATGAGACGGTGTCTACTCCTCAGATACCTATGCATCACGTCACCATATCGACAACCTGACGATTATTATATGGTTTCCGCATATCCTAACGCGATTAAATGCCTCTCGCATCTGCAATATTTCGAATGTGGTGGACGATTCTTAAAATCCCAAGTGCTCGAAACTATTGCAAAAGTGTGTAGACATTTACAGACGATCAAATATTATATGTACCCTAAGGAGAACAATCAAATGACTATGAGTGAAGTGAATAGTTTAATAGCGTTGATTCAAATACAAAATTCGCTCTCTGAATTTATTATTATTCGAGGTGGAACACAACTTGGGAACATAATAATGGCATTGGGGCGTAGTCAAGCAACATCCTTGAAAAGACTGGAGTTCATACGATGTGATTTTGAACACTTTAATTGGCTCAAAGAATTGTCAACTTTCACCAAACTAAAAGAACTTATTTTTGATGGTTGCAGAAATCTATCCAATAATTTAATCAGTACCTTAGATACATCCTCCTCCTTTCCCCGATTGACTTTACTTAAGAGTTTGAACGGGATTCTGAGTGCTGACGTGTGGAACGCGTTAATAAGGAATTCGGGAAGTAGTTTACAAATGTTAGATACTGGCCGGGGAATGTCAAGTGGATTATGGCAAGATCATATGAGAGTATTAGAAACTATCGGGCTGTATTGTCCAAATATTACTCACTTTACGTCGTACACATTTGTTGGCGTGACGCCCAAGCTTTTCGATACGATAGGCGGATTTCATCAACTTGAGGAGCTGATTATCGCACTTGATCGATTCTCAGAATATGAAGGTCGGGGATTATGTGTTAATAAATTCTTGACATTATTGGCTACACATCTTGCACCAACTGTCAAGTTCTTGCATGTAATCACGAAAAAGCCATGTAATGTAGATTCATTGAGAGCTTTTATCGAGAAATTTCGGGGAAAATTCAAATATTTTGGAATGAAAGAATTATGGGATGTAGATGTTGATACGTACGCGAGAATCTTCAAAGAATTAAACAATGTACTATTGCCTCTAGACATGTATTCTTCACGTATCCGAGAGATCAAAACGCCTGGTATATTTCTTTGTCGATGATGATCATACTAGACACGCGATTATTCAATCAAAAAAATTGATTGATCGATAATCTGCCGAACCCTTGTCTTTATCGCCGAATACATTTTTTTTTTTGAAAATTTAAAACTTAATTTATCCATCACACTTTCACACTTTATAGAGTCTCTTTTCGGATATAAATTACTTTATCAAACAACTTCCTTTTGTAAATTAATTCCCCGTTTTTTCGTTGGATAAAGGGTGCGTGATATTTTGCGAAAAAGAATAACTTGTAATTTATACACACACACACATTTTTGAATTAACTATTTAAAGAAATCGGACAATTATTTTCTAGACTTACTTTATAGTTTTCTTTTTGTTTATAGAAAAGTTAAGATCATTCCTTTACTACGATTTAATTCGTGGTGTTTTATGTATATTATATGAAACTCGTTATGTGTAACAATTCTGTGACTATTGTGGAACGTATTCTTTTGATAAAAAGAGCTTATCGTTATTGAAGTTATTTTCAGTTCATAATTAGGGATTGTGGGAAAGTTCTTAGTATTTTCAGTTCATAATGATATCAAAACTTATTTGAAAATTGACTAATGTCACGATTATGAATGAACCTTTTTAAATACAAAAATAACAACTCAATAACCATTGCTTTCCTCAAGTTCGGTTGATGAAAAAAGAAAGGAGAACTTTATTATTAGTTAACCCATTATATTTTATTCATTTACTCGTTTTAGAAAAGAAAAAAAGAACTAATACGTGTGTATGTTCCTGCCTTAAGTTACAAATACCACATATTATTGCATATTTATTTGTAGTAAATCGGTTAGAACATAGTGATTCAAATTAAAAATAAACCCTATAAAAAAGGCACAAGTTACTCTCTTCTCTTCTTAAAAGTGAATTCTTTCGAGTAAATTTACTCAATAAGTATTTACAGACCGATGGCAGAAGAAAACAACACGAAATCTTTGTCGGAAGCCAAGTCGGCGACGGTATCTACTGGGTATGCTTTCTGGACGTCAGGGAAGCCAAAGCAGCCAAATGAGCCTAATTGGTCATACAATATGCGAGAATTGTTGACTGTAAAAAAGTTTTCAGACTTGCAAATTGACCAAGAAAAATCTGAGCTGAAAAAGGGCCTGACTGCTCTAGACTTGATAATGATTGGTATCGGGGGAATTATCGGGTCGGGTATCTTCGTTTTAACAGGTATAATTCGTTTTCTTTAGTAACTCCCGATATCGTAATTCGTTTCGAAATAGAACAAAAATTGACGCGCGAGAATAATACAATGATTTTCTACCTGTGTAACAAACTAAGACGATCAAAGATTTTCAACCCATCAGAAAAAACAAATTCCCAATTTTTAATAAAATTATTTTTCTTTTTCATGGATAAGGTCAAGCGGCTGCCACGAGAGCTGGCCCAGCAGTTGTTATATCTTTTTTAATATCGGGCATTGCAGCTAGTTTTGCTGCTTTGTCATACTCAGAAATGGTATCGATGATACCCATAGCTGGCTCGGCTTACACCTATTCATATGCTACAATGGGTGAATTAGTGGCATGGATTATTGGATGGGATTTGATTTTGGAATATGCCGTTGCTAGTGCGGCTGTTGCTGTTGGTAAATTTTCAGTTTATAGATCAATTATCAATCCAAGCGATGATTAGCATTTATAATGTTTAAACTTTTTTTATGTAAACCAGGCTGGTCAGCATATTTTACGAGATTGTTTGAAGACGCCTTCAATGTGGAATTTAGTACATCATGGACAACTGCACCATTCCATTTTTCTACGGATACACATAAGTTTACACTTGTAGAAGGAGCGTACTTCAATGTGCTCGCCTTCCTGATTATCATTGTTCTGACCGCTATCTTAACGATTGGGATCAAAGAATCGTCGAGGGTTAATACAATAATCGTGGCTCTTAAAGTTTTCGTGGTGCTTTTATTCATTTTAGTTGGGGCTCATTATGTTGATCCAGGAAACTATAAACCTTTTGTCCCACCTAATAAATCCGGCCGATGGGACGATTTTGGTGTCAGTGGAATTTTCTCGGCCGCTTCAATTGTATTTTTCGCTTATATAGGGTTCGATGCAGTTACCACAACTGCCCAGGAATCCCGCAATCCCCCTCGAGATATGCCAATAGGTATTATTGGAAGTTTGCTGATATGTTCCATATTATATGTCGCAGTTTGGTGAGTTCTAGAATTACAATTATTTGTATGTTTGCCTTGGAAAGAATTTCAATTAACAATTCGATTCTATATATAGCTTAGTATTGACCGGACTTGTTCCCTACACAGAATTGGATAATGCCGCGCCAATTGCTGTAGCCGTCGGTAAACTTAACATGAAGTGGCTTATTATTATTATTGATTTGGGCGCTTTGGCAGGATTAACTTCTGTCATTCTATGCATGTTAATGGGTCAGCCTCGAATTTTCTATGCGATGGCAAAGTAATTATTATAATTTTTTATATCTCTCTTTTTCATGTTAAGTTGTCATCTAATCAACTGATTTATCTTTGCATTCCTTTTGGAAATAAAATAGCGATGGACTCCTTCCTCCAATTGCTGCAAAAGTACATCCACGCTTTAAAACACCATACGTCACCACTATAATTACAGGACTTTTTGTTTCTATTCTCGCTGCATTGCTTCCAATTGATGTCTTGGCTGAATTGACGTCTGTTGGCACATTATTCGCCTTTTTCCTCGTGAATATCGGCGTGATGATTTTAAGGATAACAGCGCCAGACATACCACGGCCATTTAAAGTTCCTGGAGGACCATACTTTGTTCCGATCGTTGGTGCTCTCTTCAGTATATTACTCTTGATAACTTCAACGGCGGCTAGTATTGAACGACTTTTTATTTGGATGGCAATAGGACTGCTAATTTATATCTTTTATGGAAGGACTCATTCGAAATTACGACGTACGAGAAACAATGAAAATATCACAGATTTGGCGGAAGTTAATAATAGCAATGAAGACTCGAGTGAACTATTAAAAAAGTCGGTCAATAATTCAATAGCATAATTTCCTAGAAGTATTCTTCGCTTTTTACGAGAAAATTAAACACTACTGAGTAGTTTCCAATTTCTTCTTATCTAATACAACACATGTGATAATATCACATTATCCATATACATGTATAAGTACAAGAAATATACTAAAGAAACGATTATTTTATCTTAACTTTAAAAAGTTATATCCCATTATCCAGGCAAATTGTAAATTAATTTTAAAAACATTATTATGTAATTTTTTACTTTATTAACATTGAGAGTTATTAACAAATATATTAAACAAATTTATAAATAACATTGTATTATATTATTATTTAATATATTCTTATTAAATAATTTATATTTATGATAAAATATATTTAATAAATATTTAATAATCTTAATAAAATTATAATAAAACTAGTAATATTATCAAAATTAACATAATTTTTATTAATGAAATTATAGTATTAAAGTTTTAAAAATTGAATATTTTATTATATAAAAAATTATTATATATTTATAAAAAATAAGAATTTAAAATTATTAATTTTAATTATTTTTTATATAAAAATTATATAGTGATTTGAAAAAATAATTGGATAGATTTAAAAAGTAAATTTATATAAAATTGATATATATATACTTTAATTAAGATTATTTAGAATATTAATATTATTTTTTTAAAATTAATTTTTTAAATTAAAAAAATTAATATAGAATATGGATTGGTGCAAAAAGATTTGTACCTTAGAAAAATATTAATAAATTATTTTTTCAAAATAAAATTTTAATTCTGTCTTATTTAATTAAATTATTAGGTATTAGGATTT